ACGAAAGATATATGTAGCTGACTACTCTTCAGCCAAAGATTCTAACAGCGTTTAAATATTGTCTTTGTACATTTGCCCCAATTTCTGCAAAGAATGCATTCCCCAAAGTTTGCTTTCAAGTCATATGTTGCAAATCAAATCATATTTTAAATGTATTCAGGCACCTTGCTATTTAAAGGGCCCCTTATAAGCATTTTATCTACATGCACATACACACACACGCACACACACACAAACACACGTTTGTAGTAAATTTGGCTTAAAGTTGAATAAAATTGCTCTTTAATCATCTGCTAAATTTACAATTTATTAAACTCTGGCTTGTTCTTGTTTTGCCTTCCTTTCCAAGAATTTGGAGGCCTAAAAGAGTATAAGTAACTGCCCTAAATATCTGCCTAATTTTCAGGCAGCAAGACACTAGTTCCTTGTCATTTATACCATGCCCACACTTAGCTACCAAAGTAGAAGGATGTATAATGAAGGTTTGTTTTATTTTTAAGGGCCTAGGAGGGCAGAGGGAAAGCGCTGCCTGGAATCTCCCCAGATGTCTCTGTGGAGTGCTGTTTGTCTGTTTTGAAGGACTCTGGAAGTTGATGAAATCAGGACGGGAGGGAGAGGCTGCTCAAGGCAGTGACCTACAGGTGGGAGGAGGCTATTGCTAAACCCAGCTCCAGAGAAACTCCACTATCAAAGCCCTTTCCTGAAGCTCCCCTCTGGACCTTTCCGAATTACTCAGCTCAGCAGATCAAAATGAGCCTGTTACCTGAATTAGGAAGCTCATTGCTCCAGTGTCTCATTTTGCTGTGTCAGCAGGAACCTTACCCACCCCCCCCACCCCACACACACACACAAGTAAGCACTGCTCCCATTTGCAAACGAGAGCCATCTGTTTTTTTTGCAGCTGGCACAAGTTGGCCGGGACCTCCTTTGAACATTTTTCCGGTCATCTTGAACTTGAACAAATGCTTTCACTGCTCCCATTTCAAGGCTCTTTCTCATAAGACTTTCTGTTCTGGGATAACTTGTCCCAGGTCAGAGATTAGCACCCCACCAGGGAGATAAGAAGGCTGCCAGAGCAGAGGTGGGGCTGGGGCACAGCCCACCTGCCCTGAGTCTGCAAGTTCACAAGTTCCCCATAGGTCACGCCCTGCCCCCTACATTGTCATCCATCACAAACCATGACCGACTGGGGACATGGATCATTTAGATGACAAAAACTGTACGACTGGAGACTGCTTATCAGCCCCGGGACAAATTAATAACAAATCTGAGATTCTAAGAATGTGTTGGTTCAATAGATATTTAGTTCAGTCCAATGACTAAAAAATTCCATTGATTATCTAAAATTCAGTCTACCAAGATGACTGTTCTGTAATTTTTTTTTTTTTTTTTAGCAAAATTGTCCAGTTGCTTGGTGCTATGTGGACACCTGTGTGCAGCCCATGCTCAACGGCAGGATTGTTGCCTTCTTCCCAAAAATACTTGGACAGTTCAGGGGACCTCTGAAAACAGCTTCAAGATCTATGGGGAAAGCATTCATACAGGGTGTCTTCATAGGATATTTTTTGTTTTTCAAATGTGAACACAGGATCACAGAGTTTAAGAATAATCAAACACAAAGGAGTAGAACTCCATGCACAAAGCAGGGAGAAAAGTAACCAAAATTTCTCATTAGCATTCAATCAAATAGATCCATCTATGAGATTTCCAAACTTAGGCTACTTCTTGGAATACCACAATTAGAACGGGAGCCTGATCTTTTACTGATTCCTAAGTTATCTCATGAGATTCATAGTAGCAAGGTAAACTATGAATGAATTCTCACTAAGTGTCTGGCCTTGAAGGACTCTGCAAATATTATCTTGTTCTCTTAGTTCATCCAACAACCCTACAAGGTCAGCATTTTGAGTTCTGTTTTCCTGGTCTGAAACTTAGTGTAGTAGACAAGACATGGTTTGATCTGCTCAGCCCTCCTCTCTGAAGATAAGTTTGTCCAACACTAAGCTACTAGGTTTAAATCCAGTTCTTTCTATCACAGAAACACAGATACAGTCATGTCACAGAGATAGACCATGAGAATCTCTATCCTAAAAATCTGAATTATGAGTGGAGATACCTTCCAGAACTCAACAGCAGTGAGAATTTTCAGTGCCAATACCCAAAATTCCTTTATGTTAACCAAAGCTGGTTTCTATTCCTTGCAGCCCAAGAACAGCCACTGACACACAAAATACATTTTTAGATCTCACAGTACCAAGTGGCAAAGTTGGAATTTTAACTCAAGTTGATATGACTATAAAATTCCACAAGTAGACATTAGTTACACTGATGGATTTACTGTGTCTTGTTCATCTCCTGGCTTTTACAAGGCTTGTAGAAACAGGTTTTGTAATTTTTTTTACCTTTCTGCTCAAGACTTCAGCCTGTTTCTTACTAGCCTGACACCCCAGCCAATATCAGGGACATTTGTTTTGGGGTATTTCTTAATTTCTGCCAGCAAGCACATTAGTAACAGCAGCCCAGTTATACTGGACAAGTGACTTCGCCTATGTGTGTATCTGCCTCTTCATCCATTCACGACATAAAGGGGAGGAAAGTCACATAATTACAGGCAGCCTTCAAAGGAGGAAGATGCAGGTAATGGGACGGTCTTCTCTTTGCTGAGCATTTTTATGTGCAAAAAGTAAACTGTCAAAGGATACCGTTAAAAGCATAAACATAAATTATAATATTTTACATCTGCCTCTGTGATTATTTCTTGCCCCTCCTTAAGATACCCACACCTACTTTGGATATCACTAGCTCAGGGTATAAAGAAAAAGATCCCTATGATAAGTCCAGATACGATCTTTTGGACCATCATTTTTTTCCTGAAGGATTTTTAAGGCCCTTCTCTACCCCTGTGGTCTGTGTACAAAAATTGTGTTCGTATTACCAATTTAGCTCACATGTTACATTAATGAACTTGTATGGTTTCCCCATCAGAGCTTGACATTCTTACAGGCAAGGAGTGTGTCATGTTTCCCTTTGCCTTCCCAGGAAGCAGTCCTGACACAGTATGAGGCTTGCGTGGGAACCAGTTGTTTAATTCATAAAATTAAACAGTTGTTTAGTGTCATGGACCCCTACCACCTCTGTAGTCTCTCTTTCAGGTCCCTGCTTTCCTTCATGTTGGCCAGCTTGGGGCCACGGGGACAGGGACACTGAGCCCCTCCGAGCAACTGGCCAGAGACCAAGCCCAGCAGCTCCACTCTTACTGATCAACAGCAAATAACACATTTTAAACACAAATACAATGGAGTGAATGTCAAGTAATTAGCCTTTGCCTCCAAGAGGAAAATCTACTAAATAGCAATATCTTAAAAGCTACCTTTGCCCTGAGATACAATCTCTATTGGAGGAAGGGACATCGTGTCCAGGATGGCCTTGCTGAGTTGCTGGTGCGAGGAGAAAGACACGCCTGTGTGTCCCTGGGTTCTCCCCAGCAGCCATTAGGAAAGAACCCCTGTGACAGCAGGCTCCGTCCAAGGAGCATTTCATTTCCCAGACTGCAGTGCTTTGGTCTGGAGGCACTTAGCTTTCACAATTGAGGTCCTTAATTGTGCTCAGAACAGGAGTCGTGCATGTGTTTCTTGGTCTCTGGACTCTTGACTCTATATTATTTGAGTTTATGGAGGGGGAGGCTGCCTCTCACATTTTTGTGAAATTATGCAATTCAGTCTTCCTTGGCATCCCAGAAGAAGCCTGGGAAAACTCAAATTTCAAGCTTTTCTCTTCCCCTGAGAAGGAAATGGAATTCCATTCCTTTGTCCCTGCTGTTTTGCCCCACAGAGGACAGAGCTGCGTGCTAGAACAATCGACCCAGTAAGGCAGGCACTCACGTCCTGGGGGAGGGAAGAAATGAATCCGATTCCCAGGGCTAGAGAGATTCAGTCTGCAACTTCAAGGACTGTTCCCCACACACATTTTCAAATGATGAAACAAAGGAATATCAGGCCACATCCTCCATCTGGTGAACTGTGAGCGCAGCTGAGTGAGGCCCCCAGGAAGAGAAAAAGACTAATTGAGAGGAGAGGGCTGAGGACCATAAGCTATCTGGGATCCCTTTCTGAACAGGTGCCCAGGACAGGCCTACTTCTTTTTAGATGAGCTGCTAATACCCAATCCAGAAGGCTCTGTCCTGGGGGCTAGAGCTGCTGGGCTGCACCCAGAGTTTGGAAAAGGTCGCCAGCACCAAGGATTTATTCCAGCCCACTTTCCGTTTGCTGTAACCCTGTTTAGGCTGTTCCTGGCGGGCACTTTCATATGCAAATGCAGTGCTGGTCTCTCGATGCTAATCTCTGCTGCTATTCTTGGGGCTCCTCTGTCCAGGAGAGTGGGCTGGAACACCAAGACTCCGGCGTCGCATGCGGCTTCTCGTCCCGCGCCTCTGCACTTAAAGATAAAGAAAAGAAAAAGGTCTTGATAGCATTTCCCCCTCCAACCGAGCCAATTAGTTACGGGCTTTCTTTTACTTCAGTGCTATTCAATGCAAACCAACCACATGGAACCCTGAGCCCCCGCCCCTGCCTGAGGCTCCCTGAGAAATCCAAAGTACAAACTAAGGAAGCCGCGCTCCGCAGCTGGATTTTCTCTCAGCGTATTTGTGCTCCTGCGCTGTCTCCCTCTTCCTCACACACACACACTCCCCCCACCCCTTTTTGCACAGAGACTATGGCATGTGCCCTTCTCAGCCTGGAAGGAAAGAAATGTTCACCCCGGGACGTTTTGAAAAGCTGCCCTGGAGCTGAGCTGGGTTCCCCTCGCCGCCAGATTTGCAAGGCGAGATTGAGTGTTCTTCAGAGCTGTGTGCCAGATAAAATCGGCCCTTTGTGCAGGATGACGGGCCATACAAAGAGTCGGCCTGTTTTATCTGCTTGTGCTGGCTGCCAATGTTGCAAAAATTAACTTACATACTTTCCTACGGAATGGAAGGAAATGTTTATAACACAGACTGGCCAAATAATTCGACTACTTCAAGGTAACGGCTGCTCACGTTGACGTGTGTATCTTGCTGTGTGTTTCCTTGTTGGCCAAAAAACAAACAAACTATGCTGTTTTAGGTATTGCTTTTTTACTAAACAAAATATTCTGTATATTTTCTTTTTCTCTATTGAAGGTACAGTGCATTACAACAGTGGGTCCATTTCAGGGATGCATCATTAAAAAATCAACATCTGTATAGAGCACCTTAAGTTCCACTAAAAGGTCATTTCTATCCTTCATGGTACCATTGTCTCCTTTGTCCCAATTTACCCACTTCTCTTCCCCTTCTCTTCTGGTAACCACTAACTTGGTTTATAGTCCAAAAGTTTATTTTTTATTTACTTAGTTCATCCATTTGTTTGTGTTTTCTATATACTACATATGAGTGGAATCATACAGTGTTTGATTTTCTCCAGCTGACGTGTTTCACTAAGACAATATCTATTGATGGCCTCTAGGTCCATCCATGTTGCTGCATATGGCAGGAGTTCATCTTTTTTATAGCTGAATAGTATTCCATTATGTATAGATACCACATCTTCAGTCGCTCATCTGTTGGTGGACATTTTGGTTATCTCTAGCGCTTCACTATATAATGCTACAGCAAACATGGGTAGGCATATATCTCTTTGAATTAGTGTTTTTGTATTTTGAAAATAAATACCCAGAATTTCTATTTTTAATATTTTGTGGAAGTTCCATGCTGCTTTCCTTAGTGGCTATACCTTGTATATGTTCATATCAGATATTTTTCTGAAAATTCATTTATAAAGGGCTATATACATGTGCATATATATGTATATACTATATATTATGTGTGTGTGTATGTACAAAATATATATACCTAATTCCCTACTTTGAAAAACATTTGAATATTTTTCTACTGAAAATTTCTTTGTACAAACTCTATAAGACACACTTATGATCATTTTCCAAAGAAAAGCAGTAGAATTGCTATGCTAAAGGTAAACAAAATGTTAAGTCTTTGACACACCACCAAATGGCTTTCCAAAAAAATTACACCAAGTTACAAGATTGCTTACTGTGTATAAAACTATTTTTAATCATTGTCATTTTGCTAGGTACTCACCCAAATGTACCTTTTAGTTTAGTTTGCATTAATTTAAGTTGCTATTACACTGAGCATTTTTTCTAAATTTTTTGCCCACTTACAGTGTGTCATTTGTGAATAGTCTACTAACAACTTTTACTAGTTTTCTATAGGGAACTGAGTATTTTTCACATTGATATTAAAGAACTCTTTATATATTGTCTTCTGAAAGGCGAACCTCTCTATGTTGCAGTTCTTTTTCCTCAGTTTGATGTTTGACTTTCTTTCTTTTTTAACCTGAGGCAACCTTGGTTGCCAACATTGTATATGACTCAGAGATATAGGATCACACCCCTCAGATGTATATTGCCACACAATGTCTGATTTTTAATGTTGCTCATTGTGTGGGGTATATAAAATAATGTTTCCTTTTTAAAAGTTTACTAAAAAAATTAAAAATACAGAGAAGTAATAAAATAAATAAAATACAATCACCTAAATATTGCTACCCAGAGATTACCAAGACATGCAGAAATTTTTACTTTCAGTATAATTCAAACCATATAAAGTTTTTATTTTGTGTTTTCTGTCTTGCTAGTCTTAGAAATAATTCCTTACTCTATAATCACCTGCATTTCCTTCTATTACTTTTTAATTAACATGTAAATCTTTAATTCATTTAATAGTTTGGGTATAAGATAAGGGCATAACCTCATATCTTTCCAAGTTCTCTTTCTTTGGCCTAATCTATCTGTGTCTATAAAAATAGATATTGAGTTTTGTCTGGATAAGAATAGTATAGTGACTAGAAGAAACTATGTGTAAGCCTAATAGTTTTGGCCAAAGCAAGAAACTGCGCCAATGACAGTAAAGAGTGATCAGCATGAGTGATCTTGAGTAATTTCAAGGTGGGAAGCGAGTCCCACGGGGGATGTTATAATTATAGAATGGCCACAGAAAGACAGAGGAGAACTATTGACTTTAAATTTCTAACCCTCTGTGTGTTCCTCTACCACAATTTATTACCTTGTTGCCACTTCTTGGGAGGTGAAAATGGTACAGAGCAGCCCCCATATAAAACTGGTTGCCTGGCTGTGGGTCCTCACCTGCACTTAAAAGGGACTTATTAATACTCCTCCCCATAACAAAAACACAAATCTACTCAGGCTGAGATGGCATCTAGGCAATGAGACACACAAACCTGTGTGGGAAGTCTAGAGATCAGAACTTGCTGGCCACAGGATTAGATAGTGAGGACCAGGGAAGGTATCATGCTTGCTCTGGATGGAAAATGTTGTGACTCGATGTATAGGGAAGGCTGTCAATGGCTCTTTGTATATAGAAGATTATTAGTGGATCTGTTTATATGGAAGATCATTAATAGCTCTGTGTGCAAGGTTATCCGTGGCTTTAGGCATATGGAAGATCCTCAGTAACTTTGACTTTCAGTAACTGGCTTACCCCTATACATAATTTTATGCTTTCTTAGATAATCTGCTTCACCCTCCCCGGCAGTGCCCACACCTCTATTAGACTAGCTGGCTTAGAGTAGCTGCCCTAACAACGCAGACAACTCGAGCATGCTGACCTCTGCTTCTCTCTGTATGCCTGTTAGAGCAGTCTGAGCTGGGCCGAGATATATGTTCATACAATTATTCTGCAGCTTTGACAGAACGGCTAGTCACTCCCACTCTTCCATCTGGAACTCTCTCTGTTGGGTAAAACACCTTGAACACTAACCCAGGATGCTAGATTGGAAGTTAAGTCTATTCCAGCCTCTCTAGGATTGGCAGAACTCTGTGCCTCTTTTCTTGGCTTGCCTTCTAGATTTTGGTTCTGACACACCAATAACAGCTCTTGCACACTCTAGTGCTTGCACAGACCTCAGGATCCAAATTCTGGTCTCCCTGGCCTTTCAGGAGTCAAGACCAAAGGCCAAACATTCATCTTCACTCCCAACTTGTCTGCTGCTGACAATAAAGATTTCCAAGTCATTTTTTTTTAAAGTTTTGGTTATTTAAAATATTTAAAATAAAATTTTCATATTCACAGCAATTGTTCAGAATGCTTGGGAAAAATAAAGCTATTCTTCTCCAGTCGTTTGGCTGAATCCTCCACCCCCATTTTTTGATTTGTTTCAAATGTGTTCATAATTGCTCACTGAAGCATTTTTACAACAGTTGCTCTCAAATCTTTGTCAGACATGTCTAAGGAACATCTGTCATCTCACTTTTGACATCTGTCGATTGTCCTTCATTCCATTTTGAGAGCTTCCTAATTCTTGGTGTGATAAGTGATTTGCAGTTGAAAATTAGACTTTTTGGATTTTGTGTTCTAGGACCCAGCACCTTAAACCTTGTAATAGTCACTGTCCTCTGACACTGCCCCAACAGGGGTGTAGAGTAGGAGTGGGATAGATGTCCAGATACCCCCTTGGCTTCTGCTGAAGGTCCCCATTAGGCTCCATTGAGCCTGTTACTGCTTCCCACCTGGACTTCCCTGATGAAGGGGGGGGTCCTCATTATAAGTGGGTGGTAAACATTCACTCTTTTAAGCCTCTTCTGACAGTACCCCCAAGAGAGGGCCTAGAAACCCCAGTACCTCCTGGAAGAATCACATTCCTGGCTTCCCACTGGGTCTTCTCAGACACCACCCTGTTAGAAGGGCCAGGGGAACTGCAGTACTTCCTCACAGTCTGGTGAGAGTAGAAATCTCCAGTTGGTTTGGGTAGGGTGGGGCCACAGTGGTTTTTGTTGTGTTGGCAGGAATAGAACAATGATTGTCTAAAAGTCTCTGTCTTGATAGGCTGCCCCTCTCCCATTCCTGAGGTTAGATCAAGCAAGGCTTTTGTTAGGGCATTTTTTGATCTGTGCCCATTGATGTTTCCTGAATGTCAGCTCCTTGAGACCCAAATCTGGGAAAATAAAGCAGAAAGAAACCCAGAGAACTAGTGTTGTATCCTTCCCTGGTCTCAAGGTCTCTACACAGTCCAGTCCAACTTCTCTCTTTCTAGAACCATCTTATTTTATTTCTGATATAATGGCCAGGGTTTAAATTATACTCAGGGGCCTCCCCAGTGGCGCAGCTGGTTGAGCGCAGCACTATGAAGCTGTCTGCAGCCTCTGCAGTGCAGATTCGATTCCCGGACAGCCAGGGAGATACCCACATGGCGCAGCAGACTTCTCCTGCCTCTCCCACTGTTCCCCTCAGCAGTGTATTTCAGTCAGTCTGCCTGTTCTGTTCTCCACTCTGTCTGGTGAATTCTCTCACCCTTTCGCACCTCTGGCCTGTACCCCAGTTCTTGTATAAATAAAATAAATCTTAAAAAAATAAATAAATAAAATTATACTCAGAAAAATACACAAAAGGTACATCTACTCCATCTTTCCTTTTCCTCTCTTGAATCTTAAAAAAGGAAAAGCAATAATAGGGATTTGAAAACGTCTGCCTATGTATTATGAAACGTGCACATTTAAAACACACACACATACGGGGCCTCCCTGGTGGCTCAAGGGGTTAAGCACCACACAATGAAGCAATCCTCAGCCTCTACAGCAAAAGTTTGATCCCCGGGCCGCCCAAGGAGAAACCCACATGGCGAGGCAGATCTCTCCTGTCTCGCCCGCCACTCCCCTCAGCAGTGTATTTCAGTCAATCTGCCTGTTCTGTTCCCACTGTGTCTCTAGTGAATCCTCTCACCACCCCCCCACCCCGCACCTCTGGCCTGTACCCCAGCTCTTGTATGCATAAATAAATATTTAAAGAAAAATAAAACATACACACATATAAATATATAAATTCCCACAGAGGAAGACCACATCCTATGCTTCTTTCACCTCGTTTAATTTTCCTCGATATTTAAGTCTGTGTGAATAGTGTGTGTTCAGAAACATTCTCATCAGGGAGAGTCAGAATCAGCTAAATGTGGATCTTATTTGCTCTTTTTCAACATCTTATTAGACTTGTCACTGTCAGTTTTTTCTTGCTTACAAATCATCAAAAGTTCATGTAATTATATCTTTGTAGTGAAAGGCAAGCAGTTCTTTCTGATGGCAGAAGTTCTAAGCAACATGAAAGCAAGTGGAAGTTCTTACATGGAGCTTACATGGACTGTCCAGAGGGGTGTGTGTGCAGACACATCTATAAACTTGTGTATGTGTACTTATCGGGCAAATGTTTAAAGCCATGGCAAAGTCCTTTGAGTATCAGTTTAGAAAGAAGCATAATCTGTGTCTCAAGGGAAAAAAAGTTGGGAAATAAAAGGTAAAGATATCTCCCACCAAAGCACTTTCAATCACCATAGAATTCACCCCCCAAAGCTGGTTGAGTAGTGAAATAAGTGCTTTATTAGAGGTCAGGGTCTGGGTTTGCTATTAGGATCAATCTGAATTAACCTGCTGTTGGCCTGAGTTGCTCCGTTTTGTTTAGTTTCCTGGAGTGGTTTTCATGTGCCCCAAGACCTGGGAGGTGAGATGGGTTAGGGGGATATGCCCATGTGAAGCCACACAGAGAGTAGAACATTCAAGAGAAGAGAATTTGAGCTTGACCTTAGGTCACTCCAAGACCAAATCACTTTAGAATGGTGACCTGTCCCTCAGTTTCCTGCCATTTATCCACATTTGCTGGGGACACCTAGCCCTAGCAGGGAGCCAGGACGCTGAGAAGTCTTTCTGCAGCTGTCAACACCAGTCCATCTCCTAGCATGGCATTTGCTCAACCTTGTAAAGAGCTTTGGGAGCACTAAGGAGACTGGACTCACCCCACACAGCAGATCAGATGACTCCTTTTTCATGTCCTGACAAATCTCAAACTAGCTTCACTCAGCACATGGAGAATGAATAGAGATTTAGCCTGTGGGAGGCTCCATGTGATGGCTGTCTTAATGCAGCCTCTTTCATTCACCTTCATTCACTCAAGCACCTCCTGTCCTTACAAACACACACTTACATTCACAACATTAGCACAGGAAACCCTATCTCCTCCTCACCAAACGCTACTGTACTTTACCCCCCAAAACTATCAGTTTCCCAGGTAGCCAATATTATTGACCCTGTGAACTTGAGTTTTGTACATGTCTGCCAGGGTTAATAATGCAACTGACTCTAAAAGATGCTGATTGGGGTGCCTTTCTGGCGCTACGCCACCCTGCCCCACCCTAGCCCTTCCCCACAAGTGCTGCTTCAGATAGAGCCTCACCTTAGCTCCCAGCAAAGAAGCCAACCTACAGCCCCAGCCTCCTGACCACACCCAGACTACTTGTAGACTTGATCAAGCTGATTACCCTCTGAATCTCAGCTTCTCTGTTTATAAGTGGTACATCACGCCACCTCAAAGGATTCGCTCCATGCTTTGATATTGCATGACAGTATTTACGTTTCTGCGATTTTAACTGATTTTGTTTGTTTGTTTAAAGATTTATTTATTTATACAAAGTCAGAAGCTCAGGAGGGTGAGAGAATCCATCAGAGCCAGAGCCGGGAGCAGAACAGGCAGACTGACGAAGCACACTGCTGAGGGGAGCAGCGGGCATGGCAGGAGAGGTCTGCGTGCCATGTGGGACTCTTGCCAGCAGCTGGGGATCTAATCGGCGCTGCAGAGGCTGTGGGCAGCTTTGCAGCCCAAAGCTCAACCGCTGCGCCACTGGGGAGGCCCATTAACTGATTTGTTTTTAAAGCATGGCTATTTCTCTTCTTTGCCTTATTCTGACTCAAGAAAGGAAGCCAAACTACCTCTTCTGCCATGGAGGAGGATGTGACTGCAGAAAGCAGAGACATGGAATCTTTCTAGCTTAGTGCGTAAAAGCCTAAGTCTTCAGAGAATAGAGGGTTTTTTCTTTTCATACAATTTTATTGATTTATAAAACTATTAAAATTCACAGGTACTTTATCACTTCTGTGTGTATAAGCCTCACCAAAGTTCTACAGTTCTTCCTGCTTTCAGGTTGATACCCTCTACCCGTCTCTCCTTCCCCTCCAGTAACCCTATATTTTCTAAGAAGTATAAGAGGTATTTTTGTTGTGTTTTGCCAATTTGTTTGTTTGGTTATTTATATTCCACATATGAGAGAAACCACTCAATCAATAATTATCTTGTTGACCTATTTCATTTCCCATCATCACCTCAAGCTCCATCCATATTGTCGCAAATGGCAAGATTTCATTTTTTAATAGCCAAGCCGTGTTCCAGTAAGTATCTATGCCACATCTTCTTTATCCAGGCATCCATCAGTGGGCATTCGGGCTGAGTCTATGTCTTGGCTGATGTGGATAATGCTGCTATGAACATAGGGGTGCAGAAATTATTTTGAATTAGTGTTTTCATGTTCTTCAAATAAAAACCCAGAAGTATTGTTGGGTCATATGGCATTTCCATTCTTAGGTTTTTAAGGAATCTCCATACCTTTTTCCGTACAGGCTACACCAATTTACATTCCCACCAACTGTTCCTTTTCCTCCACACCCTTACCGACACATATTGTTTTCAGCCTTTTTGACATAAGCTATTCTTGCAGGTGTGAAATGATATCTACTGTGGTTTTGATTTGCATTTCAGGGAATAGAGTTTTAACCCAAATGTTTGAGGACTGATAACTGAGACCTGTACCAAGCCACTGGCAGTATTACTGAGACAAGTTCTTGATCCCTAGAAGCATTTGTTCCTGTGTTCACTCATCACTCATTCATTTACTTCTTCATTCAGCTCATATTTATTATGTAACTACTATGTGCCAGCGACTGTTTTAGGCACTGGGAGAACAGCAGTGAAAATCACGAAGTCCCTGAACCTCAAGATGCTCTTATTCTTGAATACAAGTGACTGAAAGCAGGGTAGGCTGAAAGTAGGGTGGGGAGGGGTTGTTCTATGTAAGGGGATCCAAGAACAGACTCAGTAACTTCAAGTTCAGTAACTTCAAGTAAAGGGACAAAGGCAAGGAAAGAGAATCTCATGCAGGGAAGAAGTAAGTCAAAAGCTGGGGTGGGCCTCCCTGGTGGCACAGCGGTTGAGCGCTGGGTTGCGAAGCTGCCTGCGGCCTCTGCAGCACCGGTTCGATCCCCGGCTGCTCCCCGGCCACCGGAGGAGGGTCCCACATGGCGCACAGACCTCTCCTGCTGCCCGCTGCTCCCCTCAGCAGTGTCCTTCGGTCCTTCTGCCTGCTCTGCTCCCCGCTCTGGCTCTGGTGAATTCTCTCACCCTCCTGCGCTTCTAACTGTACCCAGTGCATGTATAAACAAACAAACAAACAAACAAATAAATGAATAAAAAAAAAAAAGCTGGGGGACGGGAATGTATTTAATATAACCATGGAGACTAGTGTGGCTGTAATGACAGAGGGAGAGAACAGAAGATGAGGTCAGAGAGAAGCATGGGTCATGGAGGACTTTAAAAACTATAGAAAGGAGGTTGACTTTTGTTGCAAGTAAGATGACAATACACCAGAGTTTTGTGCAGAGAAGCCACATGATTTGACTATTGCTTTAAGAAGAGATTCTGATTCATGTATTGGGAATTGGGAGGAGGTAAGGAAAAGAGTTTGGAGACTGAAACAATAATCCCTAAGAGGGATGACAGTGGCATGGACTGAGGCAGTAGCAGAACCATCAGTGAGAAGTGGGCTGACACTGGGAGACACCACAAGATAAGCTGATGGCTCAAATGTAGGGTACACAGGAAAAAGTGCTGTCAAAGATGGTGCAGGATTTTAACCTGACCATGTGGAAACAGAATTTTAGGCTAGCTGAAGCCTTGGGCTTCACTTATTCCAACCCACTCACTACTATTTAGAAGAAAAACAAACTTCCTATGAGAGAGAAAAAGGGACTGCCAGTCTTGTGAGGATTTAAAGACTAAAGTGTGTTTCCCTGAATCCCAGTCCACTGATCTGTCTTCTTTCTTCTTTGGCTTCATCAAGTGGCACTCTTCACCCCAGAGAAGCTGTTACAGGCAGGATGCTCTAACTGAAGATAAATGGGTATCTACAAAAGAGAACAAGAATTAGGACATCAATCAATGAGGTAATTTTTTTTAATGATATCTTCATCTGACTTTTTGAATAAATTTTTGTTTTAAAATAGTTTTAGATCTGCAGAAAAATGCAGAGTTCCATGTACCCTACTCCTAGTCTTGCCCTATAATTTGTGTCTTACACAGTATGTTAGATTTGTCACAATTAATAAACTAAAATTGGTAGTCCACATTTTATTGTTTTCCTAATGTCCTTTTAATATTCTGGGATCCCTTCAGAATCCCCCACCCTATTTAGTCATCAGTTCTTCTGAGACTCCTCTTCACTGTGATAATTTCTCAGACTGTCCTTATTGTGGATGACATTGACAATTTGAGGTGCACTGGTCAAGTACTTTGTAGACAGTCTCTCAATGGAATTTGTCTGATGTTTTTCTCATAACGAGAGTGGGATTGTGTGTTTTGAGAGGGAAGACCATTTAAGAGTCATTTCATCCTGTCATATCAAGGGTTACATATTTATCAATATGATTGATCACTGACAATGTTAAACTTGACTGCCTGTATGAGGTAGAATTTATTGGACCTCTAATCTGTACAGTTACTCTTTTCTTTCCCCTTTCCAAGGAGGGGAAATTGCACACCTCCCTGAGATTAGAATAGCTACCTAAATTATTTGGAATTCTTCTACATAGATTATCCTATTCTCCCCCAGTTATTTTTTTATCCACACATTTATTGTATCACTATGAACTCATTAGAACACCAACACTGTCCACTGCACCTGACCCAGAAATAGGTGAATGAGTGGTTGGATGGATGAAGGCTTTATTGCAGTTGACAAAAGAAATCATAAAGCAAATATATGTCTACATAAAAGCTTGTAGCAAATGTTCATAGCAACATTATTCTAATAGCAAAAAGGTGAAAACAACCCAAATGTTCCTTGACTAGGGAATATGAATTACGTCACAACACAGTGTTTTTTTTTTTTTTTTTTAACCAATCATAGTAGCATACAAGATGACAATATAACTTTGTCTCCCTTTTTCTAACACCGGGATGGTTTATACTTCACATTGGATTCCTGGCTGTCTCTGGCATGGAAGTGACAGAAACACAGATCCTTTCAAAATGTTGAACAATAATTCAAAAATATTCATATCTATTTTCAGAAAACTTTGTGGTGATTTTCAGGTAGTGGATTCTCTTTTCTCTAATTATGCCTTGTTAACTTGATGATACAATTTACCTTCCTGAAGTTTATAAAAAGAGACACACAAGAAGAGATGGGCAAGACATTTCCTGAATGGCAAGTTAAGTAGGGATCACACGTGCTCCCCGTGATCTAGAGGAAGTCACCCTATGATTAATGTGCAGCTGAACACACATACATATCACAACACACCATAGAATGTCTCATCCCGAAACTCAGCTGACTCTCTTTGCTTCCTCTGTTTTCCTTCATTAGCTTGATTACCATCTCAGCTATGAATAAATTACTCCACATGGTTCAGCCTAAGGCTCAATGAGATGGGCTATTTAAACAAAACATGAAGCCAGAGAGACATAGGGGAGATACAGCTCGAAGCGTATGAACTTGAACTTTCTGGCAGATTCTGACCAGCAAAAACAGAACACCCTCACTGAGGAGAAATTAGTTCATCATTTGTCTGTGGAGTTGGCCCACGGCAATCATTTATTTCCAAGTTCCATCTGCAGTCCTGTCATCTCTGTAAAATGGAGTTGGCACGTCACCCCCAGAAACATGTGTTCAAGGAGGACCAAGGAAGTGTCTCCAGTGGTTCTCACAACAGGCACCCCATTCCATCCTCAAGGTAGGACTCACTTAAAAACAACACAGGTCTTCTGGGGGCTGGGGTATGAGAAACAGCTCTGCTGACTAAGGTAGCAAGTAGGTGACAGGGGTGTGCTAAAGGAAATATTTTTCCCTTTAATCAAATCATTCACCACAGAGATGGGAGGAGAGAGGGGGAGCTGGTTCCAGTGTCAACATGTGGGGCAGATGTGTGTCAGAACACTTGAGAAAGAGATGAAGGAAATCATCCAGGCCAAACAGAGTTTTGTTATTCTCTGACAAGCCTGGCAGTTGTTGGGGGCTGGACTGTTGCTCTGGTCCACACTGGTCTCTCTGTTCTGGGCCTTGACATGGAGAAGGAGAACAGAAGGGAGAGGTATGAGAAAAAAGTAGGGAATGAAGAGCCCCAGGCCAGCCTCTTCCAGGATTCTGGACCCATATTCTGCCTTCCTGGCTAGTGCCTGCTGAGTTGCTCTGTACCCTCCTTTCTTCCAGATCCCTGGCACCATGGAGACTTTCGAGGTCAATCTTAATGTCCAATCTTCTTTCCCACAGCCTCATAAACAATGAAGGCTGCTAGGAAGTCTAACCTTCTATCCCCCAGACTACATCCCCTTGACCATTTCTTGCATCTAAAATTGCATTACGAGCCAACATCTTTAATTTCACCACATGCTTCTGCTAGAATGGCCTGATATAAGCAGAAAGAAGGGATATGAACTAGTGCGTCTCCTCTCCCAGAATATCTTCCTTTTCCTTTGGTATCATGAGAATCTATCAGTTTGCTGAGAAAAGACTGTTGTAATTGCAATATGTTGGGTTGCTGATGGCAATGATAGATGGGAGGGGATAAGGAAAAGCAAATGTTAAAACTCAAGAAATTATAGCATCAGAGTATCAACATTGTCTATATTGGCACGTTCATAAAAAGTATTAATCCTGTGCAGATTCTAGAATGCTCTTCTTCCTGCCACTCCCCACTCTGAAGTACTAGAACTTGACTCTTAGGAAAACTCCCAAGGCAAATTCTTGCTCAAATTCTCCCTTCCCACCCCTTCCCCTTCAATCTAATATTTGGCACCATCCAAATCTTTAAGTGGCACTTTCTAGGAACTTGGCGGCTACTTCTGCTCACTCACCCTAGGAAATCCATCTGCCAGGTAGGTGCTGTGGCCTTGCCAACATGACATATTATTAGAGAATTGTCATTGACGTAGAAAACACTAGTTAACAAACAAAACCCCACCGGGCTCTACAACTCACAGTTGCCTTTTTGGTAACCTAAGGCATTAACTCACCAGTTCCTCCTTTCTCCTCCTTGTACAGAAGGTAGACAAATTCCTCAAGAGATGTTCAAGACACGCCCCCCCCACACACACTTCCCTTCTTACATTTCCGACGTTTCTTCTCTCCCTCTTCTTAATGGCAAGAGTTGTGGCTATATTGGCAGCTCAGCGTTTCCTGAGTACACTCACATCTTTCTCACCAGCATGCTTTTATGTATACAATTTCCTACCGCCAACAAGAATGCCTTCCTCTCAAATTCACCTATCCTTCAAATCCAATCCAAATAGCAACTTATTCACGAAGTCTTCCCTGATCTATGACTTGAACTCTCCCCACTGTAATGGATCTGCCCTTCCCCCATGGTCAGATCTATATTCACGATTATCAAATTTTGCCTGTCATCAACAGTTAATAACCATCACATATTTCTCTCATTCAAAACATACATTTTAAGCACTTTGGCTTGGCGATCTTTGCCTTTATTGTGCTGCTTAGAAAACCATCTTGCCTAGAATACTTAGCAAATTTATGTGTAAAACTGAGAGTAGGTTAGGGTGGGCCTCCAGATTTTAGGAATATTTAAGGGGAATGGACAAAAAAGTAATTTGTGTAAATTAACTGCTTTTCTTTGAGACAAACTGACTTTGGCTTTGAAAAACAGGAGTGAGACCATACTGTTCTGTGGGTGCATGTTGGGAATTAAACCTCATGCTGGTAGGTGGAGCTGAAGGATCTTCAAGAGATAAAAATCTAGATTGCTTAATATTAAGAAAAGAGAGCAATTCTGGGTCAGGGAATAAGAGCTGGAAGGTAGGTCTTAGTCTGGCAGGAGAGGAAAACCTCTTTTCCCTCTAGAGCCAGGAGAGAGTAGAATTTGGTGGCGGAGACATGGGGGAAAGCCTATAGCAACTCCAAAAGTGGGAGGTGAGACTCCCCCACCTCTACCACATAGATAGCAGTTGCATGTGAAGCAGACAGATATCTGAGAAGGGCTCTGCTGGTGTGCTGACCCTGTTCAATATGGTTATCTCTTTCCATTCCTCCCAAATTTTGCTAAATTCTTACCACCACATGGTAGCAATCTGCTGTGCCATATAAAATTAGGAAGAAAGTGATTCTCACACCTGAGAGTGATCCCACAGTTCCTTGACTGTGTTCCTACAGTCAGAGGGATTGTCCCAATGGTGGAAAGTTAGCATAGAGGTGATTGTACAGGGGATGGGCGGGGTAAGGGGTGTGGGGGCTGGAACAGGAGGAGGAGATAGAGTACACACTGATGATTTGATACTAAAAAGAATGTGATATCAAATACTGTGTAACTAATCACTTCCTAATTCACAAGTGCACTGAGCTTTTTATATCAGGTGTTTTCAAAATGGGTAATAACTGTAATTTATGCAAGCTATTGCAAACACACGTCAGAAGTTAGCACAAGTTCCCGAGGTGTGATTAAACATAACAGAAGTATCCAAGATTGTTTTAGCACTTTTTTTTTAAAGATTTATTTATTTATTTATTTATTTATTTATACAAGCACTGGGTACAGTCAGAAACACAGGAGGATGAGAGAATTCACCAGAGCCAGAGCAGGGAACAGAATAAGCAGACTGATAGACGATATACACTGCTGAGGGAAGCAATGGGCGCGGCAGGAGAGGTCGGCGCGGCAGGAGAGGTCGGCGCTCCATGTGGGACTCTCACTGGCGGCCAGGAATTGAACTGGCACTGCAGAGGCTGAGGGAATCGAACTGGCACTGCAGAGGCTGCGGGCAGCTTCGCAGCCCAGCGCACAACCGCTGCACCACCAGGGGAGGCCCCTGTTTTAGCACTTTCTTTAAGGAATATGCTATTTGAAAGAAAGATGTCTCAGAAGCCAAATTAGGTTAAAGATAATTAATTGCAGGGTGTATAAGAGAATAATTCAAATTAATTTCTGAAATATAT